GGTTCAAGCAATTCACGTGCCTCAGCCTCCCAAGTAGCTGGGATTAAAGGCGAGCACCACCCCGCCCAGCTAATTTTTATAATTTTAGTAGAGACAGGGTTTCACCATGTTGGCCAGGCTGGTCTCGAACTCCTGGCCTCAAGTGATCCGCTCACCTTGGCCTCCCAAAGTGCTGGGATTACAGGCCTGAGTCACTGCACCTGACCTTCAATGTTTCTTTAACTGAAGTCCATTTGTCCATCCATTCAAGAAATATTAATAGGCTTAGTATGTTCTTATATATGAGAAATAGCACTAAGAGATATATGCAAAAACTATCAGCACAATGCATTTTTTTCCTGTTTTTAAACTTTTTTTATTTTAAGTTCTGGGGTACACATGCAGGACGTGCAGGTTCGTTACATAGGTAAACTTGAGCCATGGTGGTGTGCTGCACAGATCAACCGATCACCTAGATATTAAGCCCAGCATGCATCAGCTATTATCCTATGCTCTCTCCCGCTCTCCCTCCCTCCGTCCCCCTCCACAGGCCCCAGTATGTGTTGTTCCCCTCCGTGTGTCCATGTGTTCTCATCGTTCAGCTCCCATTCATAAGTGAAACGTGGTGTTTGGTTTTCTGTTTCTGTCTTAGTTTGCTGAAGACAATGGCTTTCAGTTCCATCCATGTCCCTGCAAAGGACATTATCTTGTTCCTTTTTATGGCTGCATAGTATTCTATGGTGTATACCACACAATGCATTTTTAATTTTCAGATAAGAAACTGTGTGCTTAACATAGCTAATGAGGCACCTGGAGCAGGAGACTCTTGTAAAACAGCCAAAACAATGCCAAATAGTGCCCAACATGTAATAAAGTGAAAGAGCTAGCATTTCCAATACAAAAGACATGCTATTTCGCTGTCTGACAAGTTTACTACCTCAAAACATCTAGTAAAATACAAGTCTTTTATATATACGAATGGACTCACCAATTATAATAAAATTAGCTGACAATCATGAAGTACTTTTTTATTTAAAAAGTATTTTATTTATATCTATTATAGTATTCTTATTTGGTATCAAGAAAATCTCAAGCTAGCACCACAACAGGTCTAATAAAAGTGATTCTAGGATACCATAGTAAATGACACACTAACGTAACCCAATTTATTCTTGACAGATCTTTACTGTAAATCTGGACTATACAAGGAATTCCTACTCCTAAGATGGAAGAAGTATTCTCTCTGCAGGGCTCCTAAACCAAAAAGGAGTTAACACTCTAAAAGAATGGAAATCAGGCCGGACATGGTAGCTTATGCTTGTAATCCCAGCACTTTGGGAAGCTGAGGTAGGCGGATCATTTGAGGTCAGGAGTTCGAGACCAGCCTGGCCAACATGGTGAAATCCCCGTCTCTACTAAAAATACAAAAATTAGCCAGGCATGGTGGTGGGTGCCTGTATCCCATCTACTCAGGAGGCTAAGGCAGGCGAATAGCTTGAATCCGGGAGGCAGAGGTGGCAGTGAGCAGAGATCGTGCCACTGCACTCCAGGCTGGGTGACAGAGTGAGATTCTGTCTTAAAAAAAAAAGAATGGAAATCAGACAAAAATTCTTTTCACCAAATTCAAAGATGAGGTAAAGGCACACAAATCCTGCCATCAAGGAACAACTCCCTGAAGTCTGGCTGACTGCAGCACTGTATCAGTCCTAGTCACGGTTGGTAAGGCAATTCTCTCTGTTTCAACAAAGTTTTTGCTACCCCCAGGAAAGTGCTCAGTTTCTATACACCCAAAATAGTAAAATCTGAACTGAAGCTATCCCAGGTTCATTAAAGTAGGCAGAAAGAAGTTCCAAGGACTCTTTCCCAGTAAAACGCTGACTGAAATGAACAGCAAATGCCAGTGTCCCAGGAAAGACTGGCCACTGCTCTACTGGATCTCAAAACCTACCGCAGGGGTTCCTGAATGACCCACTGTTAAACTAGCACTGTAAACTGAAATCAGAATTTATTCCTTCTTTCCTACTTTCCCTACCAGTCTGATAATTCCTATATTTAAGAGTTTCATCCCTGGGCATAGTGGCTCATGCTTGTAATCCCAGCACTTTGGGAGGCCGAGACTGGTGGATTACCTGAGGTTAGGAGTTGGCAACCAGCCTGGCCAACATGGCGAAACCCGGTCTCTACTAAAAATACAAAAATTAGAAGGGTGTGGTGGCGGGCACCTATAATTCCAGATACTCAGGAGGCTGAGGCAGGAGAATTGCTTGAACCCAGGAGAAGAGGCTGCAGTGAGCAGAGATCACGTCACTACAGCCAGTCTGGGTGACAAGAGTGAAACTTCGTCTCAAAAATAAATAAATAAATAAATAGAGAGAGAGAGATTCATCAATCCAGAGGGATACAAAAACATCTGTCACTTTCATAAGTCTCTCACAAAAGGGTTTTATAAATAAGGAGTCAGAATATCAGTAACCCATTATAAAGGTGGAGAAGTCAATTTTTCAAAATTAACATAAATTAACTCAATTTATTCACCCATACAGAGTAGATACTGTGTTTCTAATAGGCCCTCTGTGAAACAATTTCTACTGTGCAATCTAGATATAAGATCTTTTATTGTCTTGTGAAATAGAATAAAATTTTACAAGTAAACTAAAACAAGAGGCAACCACAAACATGCAAACTCTCCCTAGCTAAAGGGAGACATCTAGAGGCAAAAGCTTAACACTGGGGCCTTTTCTCACATCCCTGGGGGTCTTAGAGCCATAAAGGAGCTTTTTTAAAGTTCTTTCACTTAGTAATTACTCTCTAACTGTGCAGTTTGCGAATTCAATCCACTGAACAAAGCACTGCTTATCTTAACCTATTACTTGCCATCTAGAATAATACTCCCAAAATTCCAGGAGACTCAAGTAAATCTCATTCATATTCTTACTTTAAATCTCCTTATTCAATCTCTTGGCTCTATTGGCAAAATGGCACAGCAAATGATGGACATGGCTAGTGATAAGATTTAAAGTGACCTGCTTCATAGCAGAACCCCAAAGCAAGCACTTATACAGAATGTTCCAAGATCCTCAAAAGATTAAGGCCGAAGAAACTATAATTATTTTAATGAAAAAACTGCCTCTCTCATGAAATGTTTGCTGACCTTGCTGATTTGATCCAAAAGATCTCTAGCTCATCCCCCAATTACTGTAACTAACTCAAATTCCTTCAGGGGCCAAATGAAACTGGCTGGTGGAGTGAAAGGCATCAGGGAAGCAGTGGAGATGGGGTAAACTGAAGACTGCATCCCCAGACTAAAGGCATTCCATTTTTTCTCTTAACCCTAAGCTCATCAACTTCCTTACCCTCCCATGCTGACCCCACACCAGCCCCATTCACTATAACTTTGTCTACAGATTTTCCAAACTTTCTCCCCAAATGCTGGAATTGAAGTAAAGCAAATCTGGAAGAGAAAAAGTAACATCAAATGTGTGTATATATAGAAAATGTCTGGGCCAGGCATGGTGGCTCATGCCTGTAATCCCAGCACTATGGGAGGCCGAGGCAGGTGGATCACCTGAGGTCAGGGGTTCAAGACCAGCCTGGCCAACATGGAGAAACTCTGTCTCTACTAAAAATACAAAAAAATTAGCCAGACATGGTGGCGGGCTAATAGCTGTAACCCCATCTATTCAGGAGGCTGAGGCAGGAGAATTGCTTCAACCCGGGAGGTGGAGGTTGCAGTGAGCCAAGATCATGCCATGGCACTCCAGCCTAGGCAACAAGAGTCTAACTCCATCTCAAAAAAACAGACAAACAAACAAAAAAAAATGTCTGGGGTATACTCCCATGTGTTAGTAATAGTTATATGGATATGAGAGTATTATGCTTTTATTTCTTCTCCTATCATACCGATTTTTTAATAAGAAGAGAAAAAAGTAACTTTTAATTAAAAATAAAAAAGCATCAAAAGCCATAGCATACCCAGAGTCCTCAAAATTCTGAAAGTGAAAATAACAAACAGGAAAAATAGAGAGCCAGTATTGGAATATCACATTAATCAAGCAGAAATATTTGAGTGGCTACGTGTCATCATTGTGCTATACTCAGATGTCATTTTTAAATAGGAAAAGATAAAATCAGCAAAGAACTGCTATATGTAATGAAATGAGGCAACTGAATTAAAATGTTGAAGTTCAGGCAATTAAGCCATCTCCTAACACTTGCCCAAATTTCACAAAGCCTTACCATAAAGATCAGGTCCATGAGGAGTAAAGACATTATACAAAACAATGTTGAGTGGTGCAATCACCAACTTCCCATAATAGTAGCTGTCAATGACCACCACAGGCACCTAAAACAGAGCAGAAAATAGTTTTGCTCTGGAAACATTCTCAAAATGCTAATAGTATAAACCTGAGAATGAAAAACAGAATAAACTCCTAATGTTCCTTTTTTCACATCAAAGTTGCTTTCATTACAACTTTAGGACAAAACAAGTAAAAAAGAAAACTCACCAGAAAGAGTATGAGGGCCACCAGCGACCAATGAAAGAAACTCTTCCACCTGTGTTTCATGACCAGCAAATCAAAGGCGATGGGTAAACTATTTAACAGAGAAACAGACAGTGGGGAGTTAAATAAATACTGACAGAGACAGGTCAGATTCACACCTACCTCAAGCTGAACTGAATAAAATGCCTCTGTCAGTTATAGTGAGGGAAGAAACCTGGTATGTGAGAGGATGTCCTCACAGGACCCATCAGAGTGCTCTGTATCCCATGGATGCACAAGAAATAGAATTACTGAGCTGCTGGAATTAATTCCATTTGATACATATTTATGGGTAATGGAAATTTAAAATATAAGTATATGTGCCCTACTGTCTTTTTTTTTTTTGAGATGGAGTCTCGCTCTGTTGCCCAGGCTGGAGTGCAATGGCGTGATCTCGGCTCACTGCACATTCCACTTCCCAGGGTGATGCCATTCTCCTGCCTCAGCCTCCCGAGTAGCTGGGACTACAGGTCCCCGCCACCAGCCCTGGCTAATTTTTTGTATTTTCAATAGAGACAGGGTTTCACTGTGTTAGCCAGGATTGTCTCGATCTCCTGCCCTCACAGTCCACGTGCCTCGGCCTCCCCAAGTGCTGGGATTACAGGCGTGAGCCACCGCAGCCGGCCTATGTGCCCTACTTCTTACACCCACCCTGCCAAAGAAGTAAGTACTAACCTCTCCCTTCCATGATTTACTAGGATTTTAGTAATAATGTTATTACAGACTTTTTTTTTTGAGACAGGGTCTCACTCTATTGCCCAGGCTGGAGTGCAGTGGTACAATCTCGGCTCACTACCACCTCCATCTCCTGAGTTCCAGCATTCTCCTGCCTCAGCCTCCCAAGTAGCTGGGACTTACAGGCACACGCCATCAGCCCCAGCTAACTTTTTTTTTTTTTTTTTTTGAGACAGAGTCTCACTCTGTCACCTAGGCTGGGTGTAGCGGCATGATCTTGGCTCACTGCAACCGCCGCCTCCTGGGTTCAAGCGATTCTGCTGCCTCAGCCTCCCAAGTAACTGGGACTATAGGCACGCACCACCACACCCCACTAATTTTTTTGTATTTTTAGTAGAGACAGGGTTTCCCCACGTTGGCCAGGCTGGTCTCAAACTCCTGACCTCAGGAGATCTGCCTGTCTCACCCTCCCAAAGTGCTGGAATTACAGGCATGAGCCACCATGCCTGGCCCCATTTTTGATTTTATATGGCATCATCATCTCTATCATTGATTTAGCAATGTTGTGTGCTGTCATAGTATCTCTTCTGTGATTTGAGCCTTCATGTTGTTACATAAATTCTGCATTAACATTTTGTTTTTATTTTTTGTCACCCCAACTCCTTCCATTTCCATAGTACCTGTATTTCTCCTTTGATAAGTCATACTTTTAATTACTTGTCCAATATCTGTCTTTCCTACTAAACTGTTAAGTTCCAAAAGGGCAGGAAGCATGACTATCTAATATCTAAAATATCAGTAGTATCTAGCACAAAGCATTCAATGAATGACAGTATACTGATTGCTAACTGACTGTGATCCTGAAATCACTTATCTTGGTAAAGGTGGACTCATCGAAATGTGGCACCCAAGAGCTATTTGAGGAACTCAGTGAAATTCAATGTAGATGGAATAGAGAATGAAAGGAATGGAAGAACTGACAAAAAGAAGCTGGAGAAGTAAAAGGAAGACCATGCAGGGCTTTGTGTGTTATCTTTGAGTCTGGATACCACAGGGCAGGGGTTGGCAAACCTTTTATTTAAAGGATCTGACAGTATATATTTTAGGCTTTGCAGGCCACGTATGTTCTCTGTTGCATAGTCTTCCTCCTCTGTGTATGTTTGTTGTTTTTTAAAAACCCTTTAAAAACGTAAACACTATTTAGTTGTTGGGCTGTACAAAAACAGGTCAGTCAGCCAACCCTCATGACATAAAGCAATGGAGAAGCTACCACAGAGTTTAAAACAGGGAGGTGATACAACCACATCTGCATTTGAGGAACATAACTCTAGTGAGTTTGGAGAACTGATTTACAGGGGTCAATACTAGAGACAAGGAGATCATTTAGGAGGCCGTGTAGTGATCCAGGAACAAGGAGGAGTGAAGATAAGTAATCAGATTCAAAAGATATTCAGGAGATACAATCAATTAACAGGGATGGGAAAGAGAGAAGAGCACAGACAATTTTTAGGTTTCTGGGTCAGTATTGAGGAGACAGCAGTACTATTTACTGGAATAGAAACACGAGTAAAGGAACAGCTATGGAGAGAAGATAATGAATTCAGCAGCTATCTACTAAGCAGCTGGGAATATATGAATGAAGCTCAAGAGAGATAACTGGACTAGACATTAAGCTATGGGAATCACCAAGATGGCTGAGAGAGAGCAGAAAGTACAGAAGAGGGCCTAAGATACAATCCTGAGGAATATGAAAATCTGAGAATGTGCAAAATAGAATAGAAGAAAGGAATGGAGGTATGGAAACTAGCCTTTAAAAGGCAATTAAGAAAATTTAAAATGGCCTATTCTCTCAGTAACTCCCCTTATAAAAATTTACCCCATAGGTAAATTTCCATAAGTGCACAAAGATATCTGTATAATAATGTTCACTGGGCCAGACACGGTGGCTCACACCTGTAATCCCAACACTTCGGGAGGCTGAGACAGGCGATCACGAGGTCAGGAGTTTGAGACCAGCCTGGCCAATATGGTAAAATCCCATCTCCACTAAAAACACAAAAATTAGCCGGGCGTGGTGGCATGCACCTGTAATCCCAGCTACTTGGGAGGCTGAGGCAGGAGAACTGCTTGAACCTGGGAGACAGAGGTTGCAGTGAGCCAAGATCGTGCCACTACACCCCAGCCTGGGTGACAGAGCAAGATTCCATCTCAAAAAAAAAAAAAAAAAAATTGTTCACTGAGGCATTGGGTATAACAGTAAAAAAAATGAAAACCAAATGTCTACCAATAAGGCAATAGTTAAGTAAACCACGGAATGTTATGCAACCAATATAAACAATGATATAAATCTATTAATATGTAGAATACCTATATATATACAGAATAATTCCATTTAAGAATGTAGATTGGTATGTATACAAATATTTATACACACAGGATAATTTTTCTGGAAAGATATATACGAAACTATTAGCAGTGACTATCTTTGAGGATTGAGCTAGCGGAGAAGAAAATTAGGAATTATTTTTACTTTAGACAATCTGGTACTTACTTTTATTTTTACAATAAAGATATAATCCTTCTAAAACAATCTTAACATCATATTAAAACATTTTCCTAAATTACCTGTGGTACAGGTAAGAAATTAAGGCAGCACACACTAGAACAGAAGTAGTGGGAACAAAGAGTATCGAAGGAGCTTGGTGGAAAAAAAGATGTTGGGGGCAAGAATGAAGACTGGCCCAGGCGCAGTGGCTCACGCCTGTAATCCCAGCACTTTGGGAGGCCAAGGCAGGTGGATCACCTGAGGTTGGGAGTTCAAGACCAGCCTGACCAACATGGAGAAACCCCGTCTCTACTAAAAATACAAAATTAGCCAGGCATGGTGGCACACGCCTGTAGCCCCAGCTACTTTGGGGGCTGAGGCAGGAGAATCGCTTGAAACCAGGAGGCGGAGGTTGTGGTGAGCCAAGATCATGCCATTGCACTCCAGCCTGGGCAACAAGAGTGAAACTTCATCTCAAATATAATAATAAATAAATAAAAATAAAGAAAGAAGGAAGACGGGAGAAAACTCAGATTTCAAACCTGAGTGAGTGAAAAAATTCACAGAACAGGGTGGTGCCGTGTGGAGAAAACATCAGCTGTAGAGTCAAAAAGGCCTGGATTCAAAAGCAAACATAATCTTAAAGGCAAATTATTCAAACTCTCAGAGTCTACTTTCTCATTTATAAAGCACTAATAATTGTATTTCTCCTGCAGAGTTGTTGTAAGGTTTCAAGATAAGGTTTACAAAGGGTTTCACTGTGCCTAACACATAGCAGATGCTCAATGGTCATGACTCTTATTAGAATTAATCATAATAGTAAGTGCTAAGAGAAATATTCTCCCATTTCCCAGAATCTTTGAAAGCCCAATTGATTAACTTCAGATTCTACGCAGATAATATGGAGCTAATCCAACATTAAGGTTTACTATATGCCCAGAGATACATGGGAGAAGAACTGTTAGTTTCTTACCCAAGAGCTGCACTGAATGGCCAGCCTAAGATAGCCCCAGCTGCTACTCCCAGCACAGCAATGGAAGTCTTGTCCATATACCATCCAGTCATGGCTATCAACGTAGTGTACATACAGAAGCTACTAGGAAGGAATGCTGCAAAAGTAAAGAAGTGAAAAAAGGCAGGAGGACAAGAGCTCGAGATTAATTAGGTATCAATTAAAAACTGATTAAAAATTTACCTATAGTGTAAAATGTAGGTATATATTTTGGGAAATGCTATATTAGAAAGGACAGCAAAGTGATATTCCTTTAAAAAAAAAGAAGCTCAATGACTCTCATTTTCTCATTCCTGGTTTTTGTTTTTTTGTGTTTTTTTAAGACGGAGTCTTGCTCTAACACCAGGCTGGAGTGCAGTGGCCAATCTCGGCTCACTGCAACCTCCAATTCCCTGGTTCAAGCAATTCTCTTGCCTCAG